CGCCCTCCAACCATTTCCATTACAAGCCCAGGAACCGGCGACCCCGGCTCAATCTTCCCCAGACCCACCGACCAATACATGAAGGAGTACAGCCGACTATTCTTGCCGTGTAAACCAAGGCACAGCTTCAGCGGCGTGGTGCTTCCATCAGGACCTCCTCCCATCAGGAGAACATCTCGCCATCTGTGACGCAAAAACTGAAGTCCATACGCATACTTGTTGACAACGGCGATGTGAGCCGGGGTATAGCGATTGTTATCCGCGGTGGCAATGCTGAAGTCAAATCCCCGTGAGTCCATCCAGGCGAAAGTCGCCTCGTTCTGGGCCTGCATGGCGAGATGCACAGCTGACATGCCGTAATTGTCGCATTGGTTGTCCACACGGGGGTTGAACAGAAGATCAAGGCATCCAGGTATGCTGGGATCCCCGATGCAGCACGCGGCAAGAAAAGCGGTACGTCCATGGTGGTCACAAGTTCCGTGTAAAAACCGTTCAAATCTCTCCCTCGAGCTGCGCTCGGCCTCGCCGTTGATGAAGTGAACGGGCATCGTAAGGTACGTGAGCATGGCTGTAGTATCATCACTCCTGCGTTAGCTCAGGGAATCCGAAGATGAACATATATGTTGCTGTCGCGTATCTTCAACATACCGGTCCTCTGTGGATCTGGAAGCCCGATGGCTACATGCAGAAGCGTACCAGAATTGTCGGGTCGCACCTCGATGCTCTCAAGGACCTTGCCGACGTCCCACATTCTGTTCGCTTCAATAACTCCCTGAATAAGGCTCCTCAACCTCCAAGTATCTCCTGCTTTGACATATGCTATCGCCTCCTTTTTCTCTGTCCAGCGAATACCGCGTGGCGCTTTGGGCTGGGTGGAAGATGTGGAAGGCATATCGGGGCTTGATGGATGCATGATGCTGGCTACCGCTAATAAAACTGTCGTACTTGATGTCGCGTTCTCGATCAACTGGAAAATCCTTTGCTGATATTGCCTGAAAATCAATGGGAGGCACAGGATGTTGGTTCAGAGCGGCAACGTTAACGGTAGGTACAACGAAGAGTGATCCTCCACTGACGAGGAATATGAGGAACCAGCTGGGCGAGGGAATATATGTGTCGATCAAGTTCACTTCGTCTTGAGGTTCATGCCCTTGTGTCAAACTGGCTACCTCCTGACGTGGGCCCCTTATGCCTCGTGGTCGGAATGCGCGTTGATCCGACTGTTGCACGTGAACTCTTCAAGTTGAATTCATTCTGCAGTCGGAACCGAGATCATTTTCCGATACCATCTATCTTCCTACAAACATCTCTTCAAGGGGGTGGGATGTGTCGGCCCCCGACGCCCGCGTATCTCACGGATATCAATGGATGAGCATGCAGTTTCGCATCTATTGTTCGTCTACCTCAGGGTCTTCAAGAACATCCCGATCTAACCACGACGGATAAGGGTGCGATCTTTCTGGTGAGATACCGACGCATGACTCTACTGCCTTGAATGCGCCAGATGAAAGTCGACAGCAAAACCCCCGCGTGGTTCGCCATCACGGGTGAACAAAGAGCTACTGCATGACCACCTGGGCAATGACTCGATAAAGCAGCGAACCATCGCCTTTCGGATGAGGACCGCACAATGGATTCGTTACCTCCACCCATTCTACCCTTTATAACGGCCCGAACTCCAATCTCTCACCTGGGCGTCGACATCCACTTCCACCTCCCCCAGCAACACCCAGCTCAGAATTCCATTCTTCAACAGACACCGATCGCCATCCTCAGATCAACCACAAAGACATGGATCAACCTCACAGCAGTTCCCATCCTCGAAGCCATCAAAACACATCGCAAGAACCTCCTCCATCTTGCCTTCGAAGGACCCCGCCCCGAGGAAACCATATCCTACCTCCTCTCCCCATCCCACATCCCACTTCTCTCTTTCCGCCTCCTCCAACTCAACCTCCTCTCCCCACTCCCGATACACCAACCTCCTTCTCGCCCAAGACACAGTGAAACACACCCCATTCCTGCACGCTTGCACCTTGAGACCACCCGTCAACATCTCTCCCTGTCTCAACCTACTCAAAGCCCACGGAGCGACTGCCGAAGACCAACACGATCACAAGGGCTACTTCGCCGTGCACCTCGCCATGTTCGCGCAGAACCTCTCGACGCTGGAATGGCTTCATGCGGAGGGATTCGACTTCGCGGCGAAGACGGCGGATGCGAATCGGAGGACGGTTGCGCACATTGCCGGTGTTGGGCGAGTATCGGGAGGGAATGAGGATGCTGTACTTAAAGGCGAGGCATGTGTTGGAAGTAAAGGGGGAGAGGTCGGGGGTGACGACGCCGGTGGGGCTGTGTTTGGAGAGGTTCGGGAGGCAGAGTGGGTGGTATGAGTATTTGTATTACGGGATGGACCTGGATATTGAAGGATTGCCGGTTCCGGAGGTGAAGGGGCAGTAGATTGATCAGCGAGAAAGTTGAGTGTCATACCCAGATCTTTCGGGCAGCAGGGCTGGAATCCTCCATCAGGAGCCCGCCATGAAATCGACCCTGTCAACCAAAACAAAAAGCCCTCAGCAGATCTTGACATCCCTCAAGCTCCCCTCAGGCCCTGGCATACCCCACGCACGTATCGCCTCCCCACACATGATCCCATGCACATAGCAGTCCCCCAGCAACACATGGCCACCCTCAACATGACCCCCTTCCGTTTCCCTCAAAACCACAGGGACATCATGTCCCAGCAGCACACAAATGACGTCTCCTTGCTGCAGGACCCCTGTTCCAATACCAAACATACCTCCTTGCGTGATGAAAAACCTCCGCCCGTCACAGGCATCTGCCGCAGCCTCTCCGTACCGCTCGGCACTTCCTTTCTCGCTCCCCCTCCCCACCATCGACACAAGCTGCACAAGATCCGTGGGCTTCTTGTCAGCCCTCTCACCACTCAAGCGCCGACGGAGAAACTCCGCTTGGTAGGCTAAGAAGTCGTGGTCGTCGCCGTAAGAGCTGGACAACGCCCCTGCCGTCCACGTGGCTTGGTACGCCCTTGAGCGATCAGAGGTTCCGGATATTGGCGTCAGGACGCGCGGGTAGTCTGGGACGGGGTCCTTGTCCACTTTGGAACGGGACGCCAGGGAGAAAACGGGACTAGTGGTGTTGGGATCGAGGAAATCGGCGCGTTTGAGCGTGATGGTGTGGGAGGCGACGCGATCGAACAAGATGCCGCGAGCGATGAGAACGCCGAGATCCGAGGAGGGGGTTATCACAGGGCGACGGTTGGCGGAGGCGAAGTGGTCGGATGTAGCAAGACCAAGGGGTTTGTGTCTGGTGGGGACATCCCAACGAGGCGCCCAGGAGGGAAACGTGGGCCCGATCAGGGGCGGATCGGAGGGGTGGAACACAAACGACAGGATTTCGAGAGATTCGAAGCGGGTGATCATGCTCATGGCAAAGTCACGGTAGACGGTTACGAGCGAGTGGTCGTAGTTTGGCGTGATGAAAGAAGTCCGTCCAGGGCGGTAGCGCGCTAGGCCGTGGACCCTTTTGGATGCAGGCCAGTGGAGGATGCGCCGGGCAGAATATGCATCTGGGGATGGTGGACGAGGCGAATGATTGAGATTGGTCACTGCAAGACGCGCCGCCAGAGTGTCTTGGTTTTCGAAGGGGTGTCCGGGACTGAGGATGAAGGCCAAGTTCCGTTTGCGGATAGCGTCTTCGCTGATGGCTTCGGTGTCCTCTTTCTGGAGCCCGTGGTGCGGATAGTCGCTCGTCCGCTCCAGCGCGGCGGGGTGAGACATAAAAGCATACACTTTGTCTCGGGAGTCCGTGGCCAAATATCGTCGACCCTGATGCAAAACCTGATGGAGTCTCTTGGCGCCGGGTGAAGGGAGATACATGGTGAACAGATCAGTCACCCTGCCCATCTCATCTGCAAGTCCCAGTGAGTGGGTAAGGGGGCCAAAGTATTTAGCATACGCCATGCAAAACAGGCCGAGCAGGGCAAAATCCACACTCGCCTCACCCCAGAGAGCGATGGGTTTGTCAGTCAGACCGGCCTCCTGGATGGTCCACGTCCTGCTGAACCACTCGCATCCGAAAAGGGGAGCAACAATCTTCAATCGCTCCTCCGCTTCTTCCCGCGGGAGCCAGCTTCGGGTATCCTCTGGCTCGATGCCTGACTCAATGGCTTCGGTCAACTCATCAATGGTGAGAGAGACCGTGTCGAAGATGGCTTGCGCTTGCCCGGCTTGGTCGGCACCGAGCCAGATCAGCACTTCTTTTGCGGTTCCATAGATGTCGCCCATCAGTTTGACCTGTTGGTTGCGCTCGGGAACATCATTCTGGTTGATGCACAAGGCATCAATCCAGACAAACGACAGCCCATGACGGTGCTGGAGATGACGGAGCGCTTGGCCGAGGTTCTTGGTGATTCGAATTTTCCCGCCCTCACAGCTCAGAAGCTCTTCGTCCTTTTCCACTCCCCAAACGTAGGAAAGGGCGGAGAATGACTGCCCGGTGCTGATCGCGGTGTGGATGACCTTCGCCTCTGGGAGTGCGCCCTTCGTCACATGGTTTGATGGTTGGAGCTGCAAAATCCGAATCTCATTTGGCGTTTGCAATGGCGTGTATGGGATCCGGTTCCTTGACATGGTGACAAGAGTGTGGTGGAAAGCAAGACGCTGAAAAGCTGAAGGTGACGTGAAGTTGAAGCAATGCGGCTGAAATCTGAAACACGGGGTGGACAAATGGGAAGGCGCGATACCGAGCTCCTGGCTGCCCCATCGCCTTTCCTCGACGTCACGGTCACAGCCTCAGTCGTGCAAATCATCCGGAATGGAAGTCGATTACATTCAATGTTGGCGTGAGGGCGAGAGGAAGGAAAAAGCCTGGTGTGCTATGCCCCAGATGCATTTTCGTCCGCTGGGTTGGTACATGGGACGGACGGCCTCCAGGGTTATAACCAAGAAGAAAGAGTGTGCCCATCGGCGAAAGCCACAGCGCGGGTAGCGTAGTGGTTAAGCGTTCCTGAGCGTATGTCTTCAGCGTTGATTTCCTTCCAGCGTTCAGCGAAAGATCCGGGTTCGAGTCTCGGCCCGCCCATTCATCTTTTTTTGCTGGACTGGCGGTGTTATCACACCTCCTGTTTGCCAGCCACCAACATCACTTGTTGGCTGTCTTGAAGGACTGACAAGACAATTTCACCCCTAGAGCTGCTGAGATTTTCAGCGGGCCCGGGGCTGGACCGAAACCGACAGCGCCGTACTCGTGCTGCTTGGAGCAAATATGACAAGTCCAGTCCATTTCCAGCCACGGGTGATGGCTTCTGTGGGTGGGAATGTACGTATCATCAAGCAGGACAATGGGAGCCAGTCACGGTTATTCAGATAAGGATTAACCTTTCAACGGCATGCAAGCCGAGCTCCATCCGAGGCTGTTATCGGTCACCACAACGCTCGGAGAAAAGCCAAATGCCAGTCAGACCTATGTGTGGTGGGGGCAAAGTTGTCATGGGACTCTTGGATCCGCACGCCCCAACGTCCTGCAGAGTTTAAGTGCGCAGAGGAAAGAGGAACTGGATGTGCGCAGTAAGGGCTCAGGACTCAACTCTCAAGGTTTATACATCTCGCCAACCTCGGTGCCTCTCAAACCCTACTCGCGGCCAAAATACGTCGACAGGAACGAGATTTGAACCCGCTCACCCTGAAAAATTCAAAATTCTTATTCGAGACCGCGGTCTCCAAGTTGGAGGTGCTCCTTCCATTTTCCCTCGGAAATCCCACATTAGTTCTCACCCCCCTTCACCAACATCTCACTCAATATCTCAGCCACCTGGAAAACATGACCGTCACCATAACTCCCACCCCCTTGTGCGACGCACAGCGGCGGGAACTGCTCAACGATCTCCGGTCGGGCAATTTCATCCACTTCGGCAAGCTCCTCGTGAGCTTCTCCCAGGATAATAAGACCACCCCGGCCAAACTGCTCCTCGACCTCCACGACGACGACGGCACCGGTCGAAATGCCCTCCACCACGCCGCCCACCACAAAGACGGCCTCGCCTTCCTCCATCGCCTTTTCGACCCAAAAATGGGCATCTTTGCCAACCCCTCTGACGCACACGACTTCCTCGGGCAAGCCGACTCCGCCGGGGAAACTCCCATCCTGTACGCCATCCGGCACGCCGACAGGGACGAGCCCCGGCCGGAGTTCCTCGCGCAGCTCCTCCACTACGGATCGGCAGAGCTGCTCGATGCCCGAAATGCGCGTGGCCAAGGGCCGATGCACATGGCTGCGGAGCTCGACAACGCAGCCGTCATCCGGTATCTGTGCCGGCATGTCGACCCCGACGTGCGCGACGCCGCGAGCATCACCGAGGTGGTTCCCGGCGACAGGCACGGGGACCATCCCGCGCACGTAGCTGCGAGGATGGGCAACACAAAAGCGTTTGTGGCGCTGGCGTGGTGCCGGACAAGAAGCGAGTGGGCAGTGCGGCGCAGGAACAAGATGGGGAGGACGGCGTGTGAGTTGGCGTTTGCGCATGATCGGACCGAGATTATCAAGTACGTCAGGGACAAGATGCCCCCGGAATTCGCAGAAAGCGTGACGTTTGCGATGCATCTGAGGTGGGATTTGATGGACGGGGGGAAAAAGCGAGGGTCAAGGAGGAGGAACGAACTTCAGCGGAGGAGATCTAGTCGGGAGCGAAAGAGAACATGGGAGATGTTTTTTTTTGGTGATATTGAAGCAACAGAGAGCGATGGGATGGCTTGAGTGTCATTTCTCGTAGGAAATTCTCTTTTGTTTGGGCGCAGCATCTTGGGATGGAATCATTGCTTTTGATGGCATTTTGCGGGAGCGTCACATTTTAGAGTGTGAATGGCCTCACCGCCTCACCGCAGATCATCAATCAAGCCTACGGGAGACACCCCGAATCTCTTTTTTCCTCCACTGCTAGAACTTGGGCGAAGAACCAAGTAGAAAACCATGTGGCGACAGGAGCACAGACAGAAGCGTCGGCACAATGCCATGCACCAAAGTTTCTTGTTGCAGCCAGGGCTACAATACCCTTATCGAGCTTCACAAGGCCAGTCACCTAGGTACTTTTCGGCTGGAAGCCAAATAAGGTTATCTCCCCTTGAAAATTTTAGCAATCATCCCCACTGTTAGAGTTCATGGAAGAAAGCACGAAGCCGCGGGAGCCCGAACATGAAGCCCCGAACACCAAACCATCCGCCCTGCCTGACTAACCCCTCCTTCTATCTTCTAACCATTTCTGCTCTCGAAAGTCCCGAACGTCAAAACACCCGCCTTTCTAATATCTTTCACCATTTCTGCTCACGGAGCCAGTGCCTTGTCACGAACAATATCACAGTTCCCCTCCCAAAACGGGCGAATCCTGCCAGTCATGTCACTCCCGCCTCACCAGCAGTCCCAACTGCCCGCAAGCAACGGCCAGCAGTCCCAACTGCCACCAGGCAATGCCCAGCAGGTCCCGGCAACTGCCCAGCAGGTGTTCACAGCGCCCACCGGGGCTGTCAATCCAGCTCAACTACAGCATCAAGCGGCTCAACCACATCTACACCAACGGCATCAAGTTGCTCAACCGCAGCTCCAACAACCAAGCAACATGTACCACCCTCAGCCTCAACGGCCCCGACAACTCGTTCTCGACGTGTGGAGGGCACCCAATGGAGCCATCGTTTACTGTCCAAGGGGGCAGCGTATGCCCGTCCCGACACCTCCGCCCATTCGCTCCCGGGCATCCTCACGGGCATCCAGGGGGCCGAACATGCCTATCCAGCATCCCCAAATGCCATACCAAGGTCCCCAGATGACCCTTCAAAGCCCTCAGATGGCCCATCAATCGCCCCAGATGGCCCGTCAATCTCCCCAGATCGCTCATCAATCCCCTCAGATGGCTCATCAATCCCCTCAGATGGCCCGTCAATCTCCCCAAGGGATCGTTATGACACCAAACGGACCCATATGTTGCCCGCAGCAGCCGCTGCCAGGGGCATACCACACGCCTCAAACCAACCCTTACCAGGCCTCAGGGGCACCAAACGCAGCGTTATACTACGTCCAACAGCCGCAACAACAACCTCAAGGGATACAGCGCCAGCCAACACGCGTCCCCAACCGATCTAGCACGCCTCAAGCCCCCGTCCAGACCCCTCAAGCGCCAGCTCAGATGCCCAAGAGGAATTTCCAACAGGCGTTCGCGGCACCCAACGGCGGCATCAACCCTCTCGGGCAACAGCCTGCTCAGCCGGCAAAGACGGCAACACGGCGCCAGTCAACACCCATCGCGAGGAAGTCTGCCGTCCCTCGGGCACCATCTCAGACACCTCAAGCACCAACTCCAACTCCTCAAACCCCGGGTCAGGTGCCCAAGCGAAATTTTCAGCAAGCGTTTGCGGCACCCGAGGGAGGCGTCAACCCTTCCGAGCAACACCCTCGGCCACGGAAGAAGACCGACTCGGCCCCACCACCACGTCCATCACCACAGCCTGTTTTGGGAATGCAGGCACCACCACAGCTTGCTTTAGGGGCGCAACCGCGCCTCCTGGATCCTCTGCAGGGCATGCAGGGCTCTCCTCTTCAAGGCCTACAAGGGCCTCCGACAGCAACAGCCCCACAGCCACGGCCTCGGGTGCAACGCGTCCAGCAAAGGCGGCAAGGCGTTCAGCCTCCTGCCCAACGCGTTCAGCCTCCTGCCCAACGCGTTCAGCCTCCTGCCCAACGCGTTCAGCTTGTGGAGCAAGGCGATGAGTTTGTGGAGCAAGTCGTTAAGTTCGTGGAGCAAGTCGTTGGAAAAACGCCACAGGGCGTTCAGGTTTCTCCACAAAGCGTTCAAGCTCCTCCACAAGGCGTCCGAAATCCAGCACAAGGCGTCCAAACACCAGTAGAAGGCGTTCAGGTTGCCCCACAAGGCGTTCAACCTCCTTCACCAGGCGTTCAACCCGAGCCTCAACCCCCTCAACCTTCGCCCCAACCCCCACAACAAGAGCAGCTGGAGGTCTCCCAACCAAGCCCACATCTGGATTTGGCGCCCGAACCAACCTTCGCAGCAATGACCGAACCATCCCCTCCGCCTCCCAACCCAGACCTCCCCCTGGGACCCAACGAAGATCCCTTCTTCCCGGGATACCTCGACAAATGGGAGAACTACCACCGTCCGGATTTCTTGAATGACAGCCTGAACGACTGGCAATTTGGATCATTCGATCTCGCCATGGAAAACGAGTACTACAACGCGGTTTGGATGGCAGAGTGTGCCGTTCAGGAGGAAGAAAAGGAGAAGAGGGAGAAGAGGGAGAAGGAAGCCGAGGCTCGGAGGAAGGCAGCTATTGACTTGGCGAGAGAGAGGGCAGTGAACCCTAGGCGAGGTGGATATGGAAGGGGCCAGCGGCGGAGACCGGATGTGAAAGGGAAGGGGGTGGCGAGGCCGAATGGGATGATTCAGGGGAGGGGAGGTTTTGCAGGGCGAGGAGCGTTCGCAGGGCGGGGACGTTAGGGTATGGGAACTACCGGGAGGGTCTTTTTGAAGATGACATATCGTGCTTGAGTTACTTGAAATCATTACCCTAGCCATGCAAGAGCCGTGGGTTTAGATACTGGGTAGCGATTGTTTCGGGATAGCGAGTTGGAATTCATGACGTCGTTTGCGTATCAAAACATACCTTATGAAGGTGAAATGTGTGTCTTGAATAGAATATGAAAACGGAATGCGCGCTGTACACAGGGATTGCCGACATGGACTCTCGCTTGGTGACCCATTGTGTCTCCTCCTTCATCCCTAGAGCCACTGCTTGTTGCCCAGATGCGACAGCATATCTCCGGCATGCCCCTTTTCGATGCTCACGCTCTCAATCACCGACCTCACTGCCGTCGCCGACTCCTCGGGTGTGAGCATCCCTGTGAAGTGGGGAGCATATGCCGCAAACTTCGCCGCCATACTCGCGAGACCCTTTGCCTGTGACTCGGTCACTAGAAAGCATGCGGTTAGCAATCAAGGTCTGTCAAAGTCAAAACATGATCTGGTAAGAACATAAACGTACGGTTGTCATAGTGGCCGGTGTTCACAAATCCTGGGCTGA